ATGGTCAACGTGTAGTCCACCTGGACTCCCAAGGACTCCAGGACCTGGACTCCAGGTCACCCTCAGCCTGAATTGGTGCCTGGGGTTATTCCCCTTAGGTGCAGGACCCTGTGCTTGCCTTTACTGAACGTCAGGACGTTCCTCTCTGCCCAACTCTCCAGCCTGTCCGGGTTCCTCTGAATGGGGGCCCAGCCCCCTGGTGCATCAGCCACCCCTCCCTTTTTCACAACATGCTTAGAGTTGACAGCCAGGATGAGCTGCTCCATCACCTTTCCAGTGGTGGAGGTGAGGCTGACTGGCCTGTAGGTGCCTGGGTCCTGCTCCTTGCCTTTCTGAAGCCTGCAGCGACACTGGCTTTCCTGCAGTCCTCAGGCAGTTCTCCTGTTCGCCGTGACCTCTCAAAGGCAGCGGGGAGTGCCCTATCCCACAGCTCCCCCAGCACTTGTGGGTGCATCCCATCAGGGCCCATGGATTTGAGGGTGTCAGGTTTGCCTAAGTTATGTCTAACCCAATCCTCCCCAACCTCCAGACTTTCTCTCCTGCCTCCTGGGATCTGGGATTGCTGAGGGCTCAGCAGGAGACTGAAGCAAGTAAAGCATTCGGTAACTCTGCCTTCCCTGTATCCTTCTTCCCCAGGGCACCCACCCATTTCAGCAGCAGCCCTCTGCTTTCCCTAATCTGCTGTTTGCTACCTATGTCTGTGAAGAAGCCCTTCGTGATTTCCTTAACGTCTCTTGCCAGATTGCGTTCCAAATGGGCCTTCACCTTCCTTGTTATATCCCTTCATACTCTGACAACGTTCCTATATATCTCCCAAGCGGCTAATTCCTTTTTCCACATTCTGTGTTCTTCCTTCTTCGCTTAAGTTTTGCCAGGAGCTCCTTGCAGGGCTCCTGCCCCTTTTTCCTGACTTCTTGCTCATGGGGATGCACTGCTCTTGAGCTTGGAGGAAGTGTTGCTTGAATATTAACCAGCTATCTTTGACCCCTTTTCCTGCTAGGGCCCTAACCCACGGGGTTCCTCCAAGAAGGCGCCTGGAGAGGCCAAGCTCTGCTCTTCGCAATGCAGGGTGCCGATCCTGGCTGCTCTCGGCACTGCTGGAGGCTCGGCCTGGCTCCCTTGGCGCGGGGGCCGCGCGCGGCTGCCCTGAGCTGCTGCCGGGGGCGCCG